CTGTCTGTTGCTGCCCATTCGCTTGCTTTCGCTCACTCGATTAATTTAAGAAACTTCATCCTGTTGCTCGTTTGATAAATAACTTTTGACGCAGCTTGAACTTTCAACGTGCGACCAGTCTCCTAACTCGTAGAATAATGCATGCCTCGCGAGATTATTCTGCTGCAGGAGTGAATAACCGTTTGCCTGTTATTAGCCGCATCTTGAGAAAGGCGAACAAGTAGTTGGGGAAGTAGCAGGAGACAGAAAATATTAAAATATTTACTCAAACAGAGAACGGGGCAAAAGTCTCACATAAAATAAAGAATTCGCCGTTTAATAAGCAAGCAAGGAAACAATTCGGCCGTTTGACTTGTGTCATCATCATCCAGCCAGCGTGGACGGTGGTGTATGCACATTCATAAGTACGTACAAATGTGTAGGTACGTACGCAGAGAAAGGGTACACATGAATATGCAACGCAACTGCTGCAGTCATTTGAAATTCCATTCACTACCTTCCATGGTGAACTTTTATACAATTTCACACTAAATTTATTTCGGTTGATGAAAAATAAAGAAAATTTAGGAAAGAAATCTGCTTCCAGAATCTAAATGAGGAAATTACCATTAGAACCTCGAACCTGGGAAGATTACAAATTTCAAAATTTAAATGGTGGTGTCAAGCAGAGTGTCAACAGATTTAACTGTTTGCACCTGATTTGCAAATTTATTGTCATTTTGATTTATACTCATTTTTCCGACGGTGATATCTGCTTATCTAAAACCCGTGGGGGCACCATCCCAAAGCGTGCGGCAAACTACGTAGACGACGGAAAAACGCGGTCGGATGCCAGAGGCACGTTCACGGTTGACATTGAGAAGACGTGCGCCCATTTCTTTATTAAAATGTCAAATGAATGAATATTCGAGAGTGTCATGACCTGGCTAGCATCCGAAATTTACTGTTGTGACTATTTTATCATTTTCCTAAGGCACTAACAAGTATTTAGTGTTTCAGTCTGTGTCACTAAAGTTTATCAACATATTATTTATTGCAAGACTACAATATGGCATCTTAAATCAACGTGTTTACTACCATTGCTACTATATTCCAAATAAAAATAAGGCCAATATAAAAGGTAAACTTATGTACATACATACGGAAATACATGATTATTGGTATGAGACGACCTTAAAATTCGTATGTGCATCTCATCCTCAGTTCTAAATGAGACTTTCCCCTTGTTCAAATGATGTTCATTCAGTATGCCCCTCATTCTTGTTAAAACACTTACTTGAGGGGACAATGATACGAAAAATCTCAATAAAAATCAACGACCAGGAACCGTATGACTGACGGAGATCGTCTGTAGCAAACTTGGTTTGAAGTAATTCTGCTTAATTACAATCTTATAATTGGAATTGGGACGTGTTTTAATTAGTAATATGCACATCGAGTACACTTAATTTGGGGAATTTCTGTCTGGAAAAGTTTACTCTATGTGAAAGTTAATTGTAGACGAATCAATGATTCTTAATGATCCATTCAAGATTTGTTTTTGCACCAATTACCAGACTACATTTTCTTTATAGTGTAATTTTGTTAAGCACTATTTCAAGCAATTCAGATTTTTATCACATTATTTCGCCGTCGCCTTAAAGCATTCAATTTTACATAATCGCATTTTTTAACCAGCCATACGAATGGATGCCGTACTTTGAAAAACAATATGCAATACATTAATACTCTGCAGCTAAATATGCTGCGAAACTGTCTCAGTCTCACGCCCGTCAGAAGGAGAAAGGTCAATCCAACCCCATTTTATGACACCTCGACTTTGTTATGTCCATATATGTGCTTGACGTATTTTTGTAAGTATATGTAACCCGTGTGCACCTAACCAAGCCAAAGGGTGCTACTGAAGTTGAAAAAGAAAGCGCATTTTTCACTTGCAAGAGTTGACAGATCTTTTACGGAGTAAATTTCACGGTCTGAACTTTCCGATTTTTTCAACACCCTTTTATGATCCTAAAGTGCTGTCATATTGCTAGATGAAAATATTGAATATTTTCAACTTTTCTATTACACAACTTTTCACTCATTTATTTTTAGGTTTATGTCACATATTTAACGGCAGACAAACGACGAATTAAGTAATTGGTCCAAAATGACGCACTATGCATGCATAGCTAAATAGTTGCATATAGATATTTATAACCATAAATACTATTTATACATAAAACCGCAATAGGCGAAAAAAGTGTAAATTCACACATACATACCCAAGCTAGTTGTCATTATTACAGCAACTGGCAGAGTGGGACTACAATTAATTTGGATGAAAAAAATAGTCATGCATTTATAACAATATCAAATATATAAATCGACGAAACGAATCGCTGGACCATGGACTTGACGATAGCTCATTCGATAAGCGTAAGGTTTCTTCGAAATCACTTTCTTGGTCGGTGTTGGCTTAAGATTAAGTGATAGAAACTCTTAACCCAAAACTCTTCTCGAAATCTCCAACTTGCTCATCAGCAAAGGGATGTGTCAGCACAATTGAGGATAATGAGCAAAAACTTTGCTAGGAATAATGAAAAGGTTCAAGATTTTTAGAACTAATGGAACCCTTTTTTATCGGATAAACAAGACTCTGTTGTCGCCCCATTTGCGTGTTGAATGAAAGGCTTTCAACGGTCTCTATTACCAATCCAAGGAAAGTGAATAAGTAACACGAATTAAAGTGAAAGCAATCAAGATTTTAAGATTAATATCAAATCTAAAGGTCACAATTTATTTTTGAACCAAGATTAGCTGGTATTAAACTTTGTGTAAGGTTAAATTTTAAACATATTCATCTCAATATTGTGACTGTCTATAAGTGTCTGCATTTTTATATAAATGGTTTGAGTAGAACCAGTTGAGCATATATCTAGATACGGTGGCTGGAAGCAGTATGTAACAAGTGAAAAATGAGTCCAATTTCGTAGAAAAGCAATAAACCGATCCAATTTTTCCACTTGCTTTTGTGTGAAAAAAGCAATTTGCATAGATGGAAATAAATGTATTCAAATTGTAATATGTGTTAGAAAGAAGTCCGGGTTTGGTGAATTATGTGACACAAAAATTGTGGAGACACATTCAACCATAGAATGAAGTTGAAGAACATATATACAAATTTTCCACTGACTCAATCTCTCAACACTATTTATAACCTAGAGCTACACATTCATAGCGAGAGAGAAAGAGTGGAATATCTGCTGAAAGTGGAGTGAAATTGGTTTAAAAATGCTACAATGTACATCAACCCTTCAGTTCTTCTTTAATAAAGTTTATCTTTGTGTTCACTTTTATCTCATGATGATGAGCCCTCTTCATTTCAAGCCTCATATCCCATTATTGCCATGTTTTCATTTAGCATCCAACAAGCTTGAGATAAAACGGGACGAGAGGATTCCAGCTCGGGAGTCTCTGCAGCCGGAATTAAAAGAATTAATTAAGTGACACGATTAATGCACCGGAATCTATTTAATATGCACGGAACTCTTTTTGATTTTGTAAATTTTTATTCCACAATCGTGCTTTTCAAATTGGGTTGAATTGAAGAAGAGTCAGTGCTATGCACACATAAATATATGTCATAGATATGTAGCAGCATATGTATATGCATAGTGGCTCAAGTTCAAAGTTTATCTGGGAGGGGGAAATTCTTTGGATTTTTTCATGGGAACATTTTTCCATCCTGTCGGTGCAAGGTGTCTGCTTCTCTATTTCCATAATCAAGTATTCATCTCATCTCACACGTATGTGGAAAGACAGTAGCAGTTGGTGGAAAGCGGAACACAAACAGAATCTGGGGGTCGAGGTCTTGGTGGATAACAAATCGTTCCAATCTAAATAAAAATGCCTGTCTTTTTACTCATTCTTCTCCGGTTGCTTCTCCGAGGATGGGATGGGATGGCACATAGGTATCCATCTTCGGCACAGATGAATTCGAACAGTAGCAGCGGCATCTCGGATAATACCGTGTCTAATTTGATACATTTATCACCCTCATCGTACAACAATGAGATTTTTGTATTAGCATAATCCAGATTTCCTCCCGTACTCCTTTGGTTTACTCACACAATATGCATCTTTGCAAGGCTTGAAATTATTATTGCACTCAAATCTACAATTTGCAAGCAAACTTTCGCATTATGGGTTAAATATTTACTGCATAACGTGTCACTTGTGTTAGTAATATGGCCCAGAAGAAAGCGACAGGGTATGAAAAACGAAAACTAGGAATGTTCATGTTACATACATTGTGAGGTTGATCCTACATGCTTTACAGATGATTACACTTACAATTAATCACCTCAAATTGGACAAGTTAAGGATTTTACGATCAATCATGGATATTAACAAAAACGATGTGACAATGCCAAAACTCTTTTTTGTAAATCTAGAGCAGCAGATCTACCCTTGCCACGTTAAGAATTTTTTGAGATCCTTCCGACCTTACAAAACCTATTAATCAAGTGATTGGTCGATTTTTCGTGGTTCCCTTTTCCACTTGCATGGGTGCAAAGTAAACACAATCAGGGTGTAAAAGTGCAATATGAACCTCATTAGCTCCATGCTACGAAAATTCTAACATTCATTACAATAAATTTCACGGAAGCAAAAAAAATACTCATGGAAAATCTATAAATTAATGTATTCCCTAAAATGCAGCACTACATATTTATTGACAAGAATAAGATTGTACATTTGACCCAGTTCATGGACAATATGTTGAAATACGTATGCATGTAAACTGCAACCCTCTCTATTAATGTCCGTTCTCCGTTATTTATTACTTTGACACAAATATTGAGACTTGACCACTAACAACTCTTCCTCCAGAAGAAGTAAAGGACTTCAAGTAGCGACAAATTCACATTTTTGGCTCTCCTCTTACCATTGTTGGCAGTCCAAATTAGCTTTATCTGCTTGACAATCGATATTCTAATTAAATTTTACCTACCAAAATGAGACCTGTACATATTGCCTCAATATTTTTTATAAGTATTACGTTTTACGGTAAGATTATTCTGGTCCTGAGTTTTATCAAGTTTTGCATAATATTATATAAATATTTCAAAAAGTAGTGGAAATCTGTGCTGAAAAGAAACTACGATTAATTGGTGCCCAGCCTGCACAGCCCGGTCAATTTCCTTGGATCGTATCTCTACAGCGAACAAGAACGGTAAGAGGAAATGAAACCCTTATGCACTTCTGTGCAGGCTCCATCGTTGATTCTTCTCACGTGGTCACAGCAGGTCACGTAAGTTAATTTTTAGACTATTTCTAAATTTGCCAAGTTATTTGTGAAAATAAATGCTGTTCACAGTGTGTATGGAACAATACCAATGTGGTCATCACTGTTATTGCCGGGGCCTTGAATATTTCTGCCAATGAGGACAAGCAACAAAGGGTTTATGTCAGAACAATTCATGTGCACCCAAAATATAAAAGGTACGTACTGCTTTCATACGTTGTCCAAAAACCGTACCTGGTTTTTCATGAAATTATTGTTTATAACGTTTTCTCAGCCGGAACACGGCAGGTCCGAATGACATTGCAATTTTGACACTGGCCACGCCGCTAAAATTTAACGAGCGGGTGGCATCAATTGCCCTCCCTGACCCGGTCAAACCTGCATCAGGCGAATGCAAATATGCCGGCTGGGGAAATCGTTTTCTTATTTCCGGAATTTACTACAATCCTTCTCCAATTCTCGGCACAGTGAGTTCGACCGTAATTTCCAGGTTCTCATGCACCATGCGCTATCTGTTCGTCTTTCGGAGACAGCTAGACACAGCACTTTGCACATCAGCCGGACCTCTGCGTGGGTCCTGTCAGGGCGACAGTGGTATGTTTCTTTAAAAAATATAGTAAATACATTTCTAAACTAACCAGCTGGACTGTGCTAAATAGTGAGAAGATGAAGCGTTTTACATAAAATATTATGCTGTCCTAAAGGTGGTCCCGTTACCTGTTACAACTCTGACAATACCCCATATCTTGCTGGAGTAGTAAGCTGGGGTTACTTTATTTGTGGAGACGGCTTTCATCCAGACGTTGCAACGGATGTCGCAATTTTTAGTGATTTCATAAAAAAATATATGAACGATTAAATATGAAACCTCGTTATAAAAATAGTGGTACATGTATCCGCGTAGTACTTATAAAGTGGTGCATTATTTTTACAATAAGTAATCTTAAATTGTTCTATATTTTGCGAAGAAAATCGGTACAGAACAAGAAGCGTAAAAGTAAGCGGACGAGAACCCCAACGTTAAAAGGCATTTCATATCGTCCAGCATAAGACTTTAAAAACGCGAATGAAATTCATAAATATAATAATTCAATTTAACTGTTAACCACGATGATACTTATGTATGATCAAGCACAGTTGCACTCACCATTTATACACATTCAATTATCAAAGACAATAAGTAAGTGTGATTATCTATTTGCTGGTTTTTGTTATTTATATGACACGTGAATACACAGGGAACAGCTACAAGTTATAGAAATAAAAAAATCAGATACAATGTTGACTGTGAAGTAAATGGAATATTTATAGCACTCATTTAAAGTTTTTACTTCATGAGCTCTAGCTTCATCATGCTGAGTTTTGTATTTGCAAATATTAATGCGATAATCGATTCACTTGGACTTGCGGTGAACCATGTATGTCCATATTATGAGTACCCCCGAGTAGGTAATGTCTGCACCGCAACAAGTGCACAAGAAGTCGCCACGTCTATGTACACACATTCATGTTTAGAAGCCATTCATTCATACCGGAATGATGCACTTTAGTTTTTTATCCGATCTTGGACAAGATAGTGCTACAACATTGGTGTTGGAATGAGAAAATGAATTAAAATTAAAAAGACCACCAAAGGTGAGACTGGTAATTGCTTTCTTAAATTGTAAATTGCATTCTCAATTGTTTAATAGGTTTAAGCATATTGAAGTAGCATTGTATCATATTAACGCGCTGGTTGGATTGGGCAACAAGTCTGGTAAAATAACTTTGGTCAAATTGGACGGGATGGCCAATTAATCAGGCGTATTGTATTTCTCCCTTCGAAGCATAACGATATTAGTGAGCATTTATTAGTGAAGCAAATATTGAATTAAACATATTTAGTACATTAATTTTTTATGATGGTGGAATTGAGGATAAATTTACCGAGATGGGTAAACTGATACGCAGGGCAGCCTGCACTATGTGTAGGAATTAAATTGTTGCTCCTACTACTTGTATTTATGTAATAGTGCAATAATCAAACAAACTGGAGAGCAGAACCATTTTCAACAAAAATGTCTTATCACGCCCTTCAATCTGGCGAAGGAGTAATGGATGCTAATTGATTACTACTTGTACATATCATCCATTGCATCCCACACACAAGTTGGGCAGCTATCTTTGATTGTGTTTGCGGCAACGTGTAGTTGTGCGGTGGGTACCTTATACACATTTCAATCTAATCTAATCTCGTTTCGGGCAGGTAACTTAACGTAATATTTACTGAGCACTTTTATTGTCCGTCGACTAAACCTCTTTTCCCAAGTTTAAAACTGCGATAAGAAAAGTTAAGGACAACAAGTAGTTTCATTTTAGCAATAATCGTAATATTTTATAGATCCGGTTCGGTTTGGTCGATTCCGCAGAAATAAGTAGCAGAAATTATCACAACGCCACGGCGGCGGAACGGGTGACTGGAAGCGATGTGCTCGTAAAATTACAACGGTGAGTATCAATATAAATCAAGACAAATGGCGAATTGAAAATGAGCAGCGGCTTGGATAAAACTCAAATTCATGCTTAATGCATGGTAATTAAATTATATGGCTGGAGATTATATAGAGCTTTCCTTGCCAAACAAAAGCCCGAGGGATGATGACCACTAACGAGAATGTAGGTGTGTGTCTGTGAAGAGGCAGAGCTAATTATTCGGCTATGACACTTGTGATTAGTAAATGTATATCCACGTAGTTACAAACTCATCCCAGGTAAAAATAAAATGTGCAGGGAATTTGGAAAACGGAAGAGCAACTGGTCAACCAAGCATTTAAAATAATAAGGCTTCCACAACCTCCACGATGTTTCAAATGCTGCATGTGAAGCTGAATCGTGTATGTAACATGTGTATGTACGCCAAACCTGGTTCACGTTTCACGAGAAAAGATTCAAAAATCAGGATCCGATCCGGAATCATACTGTTTGGTTGTTGGTGGCTTATGAAACGTTTTTCATTATGTATTTCCCATGTTAAACAGTGGAGTTAGCCCTGTCTCACTTTAATTGCATTTAATCATGCAAAGTCGTGACTTCGATGATAAATTCATTTGCTCCTCATGAGCCTGCCAAGACTCAATTCTTCATTAACAATTGTTTTCTCATGTGTAAACTGTAGGTTATGAAGAATATGTATTTCTCCTGTTCGCTTCCTGTCATATTTGAGGATAATTCAATGTTTATATTTCTTTTTATCCAAGTTTATCCACGCCAGCACGAAATAATTAAACGCACAATGAAACCAAGCCCACAAGGAAGGAAAGGCTGCTTTATAACACCAGATTTTCCGTTATTGGGAATCGCGGAACTATTTTCAATTTCAAAGCGGGATTTTTCAGCTAGCGAAATAATATTATTATATAATGCTAACGATCAGTGCTGTACGTAACTCTGTCCAAGTTAGAAAGCTATCATAGTTTCTGACAATGAGTGAGTCTGACAAAATATAAATATATGTCGATCAATTTATTAATAATATTGCAAATGCTTGGACTGGTTCCCGTACATAGATTACACAATTATACATATTTTACTATTTCCTATGCATGCAAACTCCAACGCGACATTTTTCAGTGCTAATATCCCATTGCACCACCGACATACTCAATACTCATACGTATCTAATTAAAATATTTATCATAAATATAAGTTAAGATTTGCATAAATCACACCAAACCACCGCATAATTCTGATTGATCTAACTCGGACATCTGCAAAGAAGTTCTCATAAATAAATAAAAACGTATAGACTCAAGTTACAAGCAAATTCGTGTATTGTGCATCACTAATCTAAAACTACACATAGTCATCGCTCAAGAAAGAATCCATACCACGTAAAAACGTGATTGTCAAAATGTTTAAGCCATAAATCCAATTAAAGCCGCTGACATGGACTTCACTTACGAGTAGGTCCTCCACGGTTGTAAATTAGTCTGGAATCTGTCAGTTCTTCAACTTCAAGCTTAAATGCTGGAGGCTGGGGGCAGTATATTTCAGAATGGACATGACCCAAACTCGCAAGCGATTTGATGAAGGACTACGATTTGCAAACCTTAGCAGCGGTTCGACGGGTAATCTAATTTTACTGCTAGCGTTTAACTCATACTGCGTCTGGAGGTTAAAAAGCGTCCTGTCGTCAATCACCGAGCAATTTCAACCGATTTGGGCTTTTTTGGCTTCTTAAGAGTCTACAATGGTTTTAGCTTTATTATTATTATTTAAAATTCGCTCAATTGCGCACGATTTGAAATTTGAATACTGTAAAAATCTGTGTAAATATTACTAATATTATGCCATATACATAGGTACATATATATATGAGTATGTATGTGGAATTCTAGGAAGCAATTCCTTCCACTCTTATTGATCTGGCATTCTTGGAAAGCTAATTTTCTCCGCATGTGTACAACTTGTGTGCAATCATCTAATCAATTGACATGCGAAACCCTGATTGTGTTTGTTCAGTCAACATCTCCGGATCCAAACGCTTTTGAAATTATTAGAAATTACTAGATTTGAGAGTACCAGAAGCAATAGGGAAATTGCAATGTGCAATCGCTCTTGCAGCGTGTTTTGATGAAACCCAAAAGAAGTAGATGAATTTTTTATGGTGAATTCAAAATTATAGATGGGATTCTTACATTTAAACTCGGGAGATCCCTTCATTACAGATCATGGGTAACCTTCTCTGCTTCACGATGCAATAAAGGTGGGTATGCTGATGAGTCCACGTTCTGAGAACGATATTTCAATTAGTACTTGGAGAGAAGGAGCAAAAAGTCAATTTAGGCAAGGAAGCAAATAATTTTACAACAGTGCATACATGAATTGTCGTTGCATGATACACGACTATTAACATAAAATGCCAATCATGAGCTGGATTCAAATTATTAAATGTTTGATTTGATTGCCTTGCTTTCAGCAAAGAATTTTACTTCCGATTTGATCGATTGACGGGCAATTTTCATAGAGCATTGATTATTCGATCTGGTCACTTATTGCTTCTTGTATTCGTAGGTGGCAAGCTAAGTATTGACTCACATTGTTTCACTGGAATTCAAATTCATTCTTATCTCGAATGTCTCAGAAATAAGAAGACATCAATATTGACACAGTCTGACTATGTCGAAAATGACTTTCTTCTAGTTACTACTGAGGGTTAGGCGAGATTACAGAACGTGTCGAAAATTATTAATTTTTGGCCGAAATATCCATCTCTGGATATTTTAAATGATCTCATCGTATTCCTCATCCTTTTCTCATGAGGAATAAAGTTATCCATTCCAAAAAGCCGGGCTTTTAAAGCCGGCAGCAGATTTTCTTTGAACCACTGTTCATCTAAAAGTTTGCAAAATACATAAAAAATTTGTATGTCCATTTGAAAAAAGTGTCGATCTGAAGTTTCAAATCAAAATTAAAGCACTGGAGGCGCATAACCGGACGTAACTAGTTTATCTTTATGCAAAATAATTTAAATTCCGAATGTTAAAAAAAGAATGGCTGCGAACTGGGTGGTAATCCGAGCGTTATCAGAGAAAAAGTTTCGCGTCGACCTCATATCTTCTGATCCTCGCTGAAGTTTGCATATCTTGGTGAATAATTCAGTTCAGTGTACGCCCAGGGACCTGACACTTCGTGGCCAGTTGATTTTGGATTGATAAAAAAATTCTTGTCTTGTCCACATCAATTTTTCTCACGTGCGTCGGGTTTCTTACAGTCCGGGGAGCATGCGTTCGACGGATGTGGCACAATCAAATTTCTTGCCTGGTTCCTTTTTTCAACTGAATCCTTTATATTAGGCATTGGGCCATTAGAAATGACAGTTTTTTCATCATGGAGTTTGTTTAGTATTTTTTTTGTACGTCATTATTGCTTGGCAAACTGTTTTATCAGCATGGAGCTCTGTGGGGTCAATTTCTGCACCCGTTTTCAAACTTTCGAAATTGAGCTTTTGGGTCACGGCGCAGCTTGAACCAAGCTTCGAGAAAAGTTTCGAATATTTGGAATTAGCACAATTGTTTAATTTATATGGACAAATTGCTACACGTTCTGTAATCTCGCCTAACCCTCTGTATTCCAGGCGACTGTTTGTATATTTTGGAGAAATTTTTATTCCCACGTGTGATTTAAGATTGATTTACATCATCAACCTTACATCGGTTTAGAAAAATCATATAAACGATTTAAGTTCAAAGTTGCGTCTTGCGAAGCGTGGGAGGTCTGCAGATATTATTTTAAATGTTATATAATGTAATTTTTGATAATTGTATAATTTTCACTGTATGTATTTCTTATCAACCTGCCATTCGAAGGATAAGTGAGTGTGTTATAGACGGAAGTGATTATATGCAAGATTTGTGACAGAATAACCTGACGTTTTGACAAGTCAAATTGGAAATATTAAATGCGTTTTATTTCTGACCTCTGACATTGTAAAACACAATTTGAAATTAGTTATACTCTACTCACTATTTGACATCAGGTTGTATAATCAATCAGCTTCTGTAAAATCAAGTCGATTTGATTACACGTCACTTATTTATCATTGTCAAACAGAGGAAAACTCGGTCTTGCATCCACAGGAGAGCCGAGAGATGTGTACTTATTGTGATTAACTCTGTAGATTACATATTTGTAGATTGTTTATTGCTAAAACATTGCCTCCACGCATTGCTTACCAAAAAACGATTCCAAAATCTTGATAAATCAATTGTTCGGATCAAGAAACAATGAAATGACAGCAAATCCCAGGAAAACGAATCCACCAATAATTGTAACTAAATGACAAGAATAATGAGATTTTCACCCTTGCGCATATTAGCATTTTGATATGTACATACTTCGTAATACACACTCACCCGTTTTTACAGAGATTCTTTGGGCTATCATCCTTCCTCCCACTACAGCAAGTCCGGTACAAAACGCGTGACCCAATATTCCACCCAAACAGATTCCAAATATGTTCTAATTGCATAATTGAAATATTATCCGTCCAACATTTGCATTCATCAAAATTATGACACTATACTCACTTCACGAGCAGCCAACACGACAGTCGCCAACTGCGACCTGTCTCCCCATTCGGCCAGAAATGTCATTGTCAGAGCTTGAATGTATACTTTAGAAAAGCAGGAGGACAAAATTCTCCTTATAGTCAAACGTATTTTAGTTCTGCTCATCAATGACAAGGTGTCTTCAGACGATGACGTCAACGGAGTATTTTCCTAATTAAAAACGTTAAACATTTAGGACAGGATTCTACTCAGGAATAAATAGGAATGTGCTCACATCTTCCTCCTTTTGGCGTAGAGTCAAATGAACCTCTTCAAGTTCTTCAGCACCTTCGTCATTTGACATTAAGGCTCCGTCGTAAAGCATCTTTAACCCAAATATGGCAAATAATGCTGTCGAAATGTAGTAGGTGTAAACTCTGGGTATAAAAGTCGTAACATAACCAAACAAAGCTGCAGAGAAATTAAGATTTACTCAAAAAATACTCCTTTCTCATGAAAAACCTAATAATAAACAACAATGTTATTTAAATACCCGAGAAAATCGTCATCAATGCCAGTGCTGATATGGCTCCACTAAATACGACCAGTCTTGGATGTTTCATCGCCATTACCGCAGCTATGAAGAAAGTCTTGTCTCCTAGCTCGGAGACGATGATCATGGATATCGAGGAGACGAAGCCACTTGCAAATCCTTTTGCAGAGGTAATAGAACCCACATTGATGTCATCGTTTAAAGGTTGAGCAAAAAGGCCTCCTCGAGATTCTTTAAGAAACGGGGCACATTTTGCAAGTTGAACTAGGCAACTTACAACGATCCACAAGATAGCAATAGTCCTCGCTTCTTTCACTAAAGTCCTTAAAAATTGCCCCATTGCTGATTCTGTTTGGTCAGAGATTTTAAACCTTGTTGATCACGATTTGTAAAATTGCAGCAATTGGGCATCAATTGACTCTACTAACACCAATTCAAATGCGTGTAGACGACTCTGGGTTGTATGATGTGAAGTAATTACAAGCTATTGAATTATGATACTGAAATGAAGCTTGACGTGTTAGGGAACATTGCATGCTCATTCATACTCTCACGTCCAGGACTGACGGTTTACATGGCAGGCAGACAAAATAATGTCGTATTTAACTTTGTACAAGAACAAAACCATCAACTTTCTGATTTGTCCTTCCTGAGTTATCATGCATATGCTTATTATTATGATAAGATAGAGAATAATATTTGTCTGACTTTTATGTCATCATTCAATTCATTTTCAATATCTATGTCAACAGCAATAGCCTATGCAATGAACTCAACTGCGTATTACATTCCAAAAAAGTCAATTCCTTAGCTGGTCCACAGACACAAGTAAATTTTAATCATAGACTCCTCACAATCTATCTCCAATTTTTCCCATTCAAGAATGTGTTAGTTCGAAATTAGATGATTGTTAAAATGAATACATAAAATGTCCTTATGGAAACTTTAACAATTAAATTAGGAGATAACCAAATTGGAACTCCATCCGGATAAAGAAGAGATTTTATTTCCACATGCTCCCAAAGTCAACCATAGACGTACATAATTCATATAAAATTATCACCAAAATTTCTACTGTAATGCATTTTTCACAATAACAAGATTCTACAAATGATTGAACATATTTATTTAGCTACATGTTACCCATAATATTTCAGAAAAATCACAAAAGCTCAGAAAAGCATGAAAATGCTGACTTGCAAAAACAGAATGACTTTCGTGGTAAGCTAGCAAGGCGTGTTAAATAAGTCTGAAGTATCATAGAATTCCTGAATTTTGTAATTTAGAAAGTTTCCGAAACAGATATAGAAGAGAATGACGTACCCCAGAACTCGTTGGTCATTGGTTGTTTATGAAAAAGAAGTTTCGGACATGGAGAAAAATAAGCTGCAGACATCGAAAGTGACGAAAGAGGTGAAACTAAATTTTCTCCAAAGTTGAAAATGCATACACATTTATATGCTGAATACACATTAATTCGACCTTATTATGCTCAGTCCGTAGAAAGTACACGTCGCATGCTTCAATTAGTTAACGAGGTATGAGTTGCTTACTTACTACATTACATATTGCTCAAGTGTGTCCAGAATCTGGACTCCAGATATGAATTATACAAATTCAATAGTGCGAGGATGCTGGGGTAAATACTTTGCGTATGCTTCACACCCAAGGAGGTAAAATAATCGTTCTAAACACAAAGTGTACATATCCACAAAAAACGGATGATTTTAGAGGCACTGAAGCGAACGGAAGGTGCTCTCGAGGACATTGATGCCGATCTTCGGGATGGAGAAAAGACTTTGAAACGAATCAGTTTCATGAACAAAGTTCCCTTAATTTTCCTGCCATTATATTTGATGCTCAAAGGGTTAAATAAACAATTCTACATTTCTGTCTTATACTTTAGAACGTTTAGAGATGAAATACATATGTAATGTAGCAAATTTTAAAATTCTGAGTTCAGAGAGCCTCCCCCGTCACCTCTTCCTCGAATGGAAGATCAGTCTCAACGCGACGTGCAACCTAAGAATCAGAATCAAAGAAAGCCAGCAAAACAAGGCTCATCAAAGTCAATGTGGAGAAGCAGTAAAGGAAATATTTCTTTGCCCCTGGAGGATTTACCTTCCAAACATGGGGGGTTATTAGACAAGAAAAATGACAACACCGACAGATTTTTTATGAGGTGAAAATACGATAAATTGGAACTTATATTTACTTATTGTTAGTTTACGAGTTAAATCATATCTGCTCTCTGTTTTCCAGAATTACAGGAGACGAAGAAGAGGACGAAATAGAGAGTAACTTGAACGTTGTGTCGAAACATTTGACAGAGTTAAAAGAACACGCAAAGTTAATGGGCTCAACTGTCAGCACCCAAAACTATCAATTAGATGTCATTCATACAAAAGTATAATCATATTTCATGAGTTTAACGATCTACGATGACTTGTAATAATTTAAGCCATTTCAGGCTGAAAACAATGAGAGCAAAATGATTGGAGTGAGTCAGAAAACTAGGAAACTTTTGGGTGATTCTTCAGATTCCTCAATTTCCTCTTCGCCAAATTGTTTGAGATGTGTAATTAGCTGAGAGATAACTAGTCTGAAAAAAATATCATTTCAAGTAAAACTATTATGCAATCTTAAGAGTAAGTAAAATAAAGATTATTAAGGGATAAGCAATTTTCCTGGGCCCTGCAGCACCCATTTTTTTGTTGCCACGAGCCGATTTATAACCATTTAATTTTAATTTTAACTCAACAACGGTGAACTTGATATAGCCCGAGCCGAGCTATTCATATTTCTGTTAATTTCAAAATCTCATGTCTTTTCGTATGGTATTTACCAGTAATATTAATTATTTAAAAAAACTACAGTACAGATCTCATTTTTCCTTAGTCCTAGTCGGGAACAGAATCCGCTTCTAAATTTTTGAAGTAATTACAAATCTGCCCCCTTCACCACCAACACCCGTGGGGCTCGCTTCGTTAAAATCTTGAACATCCAAAGTTGTATTTCGTACGCAGACGTAGTTTTAAAAATTGCTATGGTATGGAGGCTAAAAATTTCTCGGCTGAAACCCCTACGGATCATACCAAATTTCAGTCTTCTACGACCGTTTTAGAAAACCAGTGGGGGTGACCCTACTGGGTGATTCAAATAGATTCGGTCATTACATTAGCTGTATCCATAGTCCGTGATTTGTTCATGATTTCGTCATAATTTTCAAAAAATATTTTTATTCCGATTTTCTGATTGGTCGATTTTATAACTCTTATGGTGATTAATATGCTGAAATCATGAACCTGTGAAAGCATCACCAAATCACTAACAAATCATGGACTATGGATGCAGCTATTGTACACTTTTGTACACATTTGTGCATATTGATTGGGAAATGGATGATGGATTTGATTTGAATTTCAGCCCGCACGTGTTTTCTGAGAAATTCCATAACGCTTAACCATTTCCCAATCAATAGTGCATATGACCAATGTCTCGAATATCGGTCTACCAACTTTTAGAATACCAACTTTTAGAAAGGGGTCACCCTATGGGCCACTCTGGTTACACCTTGCTCACTTTTAATTGCATACTCTTTCATGAGAAGCAACCTCTTTACCAAATTTCAACTCGATATGACGATTTTTAAAAATCGGTATGGGTCACTCCCTCGGGTCTCTGCAGACAAAAAGTTCTCCCATCTCAATCAATATTCTTTTTTTAGAAGCCATTAGTAATCTCTGTACCAAATTTCAGCTTTCTGTGACAATTTTGAACTTTTGGTGATAATACCCGACCCATCCAGACGACCCACACCGGTCAACCAGTTAACTGATTTGCTCATCTTCGTACTTAACTCACCATTTGCCCCATACTACATGTGTACGAAATTTCAAGTCGATAGGATAAGGTTAACGGGAGTTATCATAATCCTGATATACAGACAGAAGGACGGACACGACGGTTCCAAAAGTCCTGGCTCGGGCTAATTTTATCGTCACGATAATAAAATAAAATTCAAATATGTTAATATAGTTACCATAAATTGGTATTTTTGGGCTTGAGTACTGCAGATTTTGTTAAAACCTACCCACTTCGGATGTGATTTTCACATCGATGCCAACATGGAGGATTTCTGAGACATACATCAAAATGAAGAAGAAGACTTGTACGATTTTTTAAAAGAAATTTCACAAATCCTCCATGCTGGCAACATGGTCAAAATTCAGGCCAAAGAAATACCTTTGTCCCTTAACAATCTTTTAATAAAATACTCGTAAACATTTTGTCTCTACAAAAGGAAAGTTGTTGTACATACATGTCTTTGGTCAATAAAGAACGATGATGATTATCATCTCGTACGTACATCACATATATGACAATCCTCAAAATTCATGAAATTCTCTTTTCCATAAAAGTAAGTTGTACATAGGGAAAGTTATGTTGAGCCGGAAAACTAAACCCAGCATGTGTGAGCCATCTACTCAGACCTATGATGCACTACTGCTCATTGCTACATTGCTTTCTCTTTGATAAACATTGAACGAATTTTCATGAGTGTATTTATTTTGGTGGTGTTTGTTGCTTTGTATGCAATGCAAGGATGAAAATTCAATTCTATGTTATAATAATTATTTAACAAAAACAAAGTGTATATTAGATTCCTTTGCTTTCTGCTTATATTATCCATTTGATTTGCATAATACTTTGAATGAGTATTATGGCATTGAAATTACGCAACTTGAACTACGTTTAGCATTTGTACCCGTTTAATTACAAAAAAACCTTATAATAACAAGAATACGTACTTACACAGCACAGGCTGTTTATAAAAATATAGTTAGATTAACAGTTCCGATTCTATAATTCTGATAACATAACAGAACAAGCACAATCAAGCTTGCGGCTTATTTGAAGCCATGTGTCTAAGTAGGTTACTGATAAATTTTTCCATCCGTTTACACTCTTGAATACTTTCAGACTTATATTGTAAGCACTGCAAAATATTTAACAGTTTGTTAATTTTAATATTTCAATTTATTACAAATAAGTTTGATTGGGCTTACCACAACATCATTTGTCATTTTTACTTTGAAAATACCCTTCTTATGAATATAGAGTATATTATATCTGCACTGAAAGTAAATAAATAATCATAACATTATTAAAGGAATAATAAAACAACAATTAATTTGTGTATTGTCACATTTTATCGCATTATATACTCACTTTTAGAGGATCCTGTAAATACAGTCGTTCAGCACCCTTTTCGAAATCATCCCAAGACTTGAGATACATTTTTCGTCTCCAGACTTCTAAAGAAAGTTATTTTTTAGCAGATGTTCTTTCACTTTTTCGTGATTTCTCAAAAGTCCACCGAGTTGCTGGCATTTCAACTTGCGCGGAGTTTTCTTCTCATTTATAACTCGTCGCGATAGATGGACCACTGCTTCCACAACCGTTCTTGATGCCTCTGGCTCTCGCTGATTTTGCCTGCTTATCAACTCATCTCACTTATCAATGGTAACTTAATTAATTACAACATCTACTTCTGATATTATGTTTGTACTAGCTACAGTTCTCTTCCAGCGCCATTTTGCATCCACCTAATCGGCATATGCATATTTCCATAAATTGAGTTTACTCGTTTCTTGTCCATTTTAGCACTTCTGCAAATCCGCACCGGAAATTTACGGATGTGTTCACACCACCCTTTTTATTCGAGACTGGCTAAAACAAACATTCTTTTTTACAGCAAACCTCTTGAAAAGTGCAAATCCATTTGAAATGCATAGGATATGAATGACGGAGAGGAAGGAGAGCGAGAGTGAGATCTGCTGCTCTCTGCTGATAGGAGTGGAAAGAGTTTGTGAGGCAAGTCTTTCTATAACTTTTGGGAGTTGTTGTCCGTAAAAAGCCCAGTCAGTCACAGCTCCTCGTCTCAATCCCATCATTTCTACTCTTCTCCGTTTGCGATACGATTATACGAAACTTTATTATAAAAAACAAAGCTCTTCTGGTGGTGTGGAATACGAGGAAAGATACGATATACGATGTCAAGTTGAACATTGCTGGGGCACTGACTGCACTCTTTTTTTACAAGACCCACAACAACCCTTTCCTTGCATACACACCAGACTCACACATTAAAATACATAACAACAATACAACCTCTTTCTCGCAACAACTATAAAATTATAAGCTTTTCTGCTCCACCATCGTGGTGGGCATAAGAACATCCATCACTGCAGGAAAAGAAACAAGTTCCTGGATACTACTGGTTGGTCGATTATTGTGTGGATCTGCTGGTGGTGTTAATAAAATTCAATTGTAATTATTGGCAAATACGAAAAAGTGAGTTGGTCAAACTTCTTCTTACATAACTATATTATTAGATAATACAAAACATTATTGTTGTCGGCGTTAAGTTGAATAGACGATAGTGCCCAAAGTGCGTTTAATTCTACAAGACGTGTTGTTGCTCAAATATCAGGAAAATATAAAATTACAAATAGACAGTGGGTCCAGTTTTCCACATGTAAATTTAAAGGGATATATTATAATAATGACGAATAAGCCAACTTCTTAATTACGATACGGTTTACAATAGTTTATGTTATGCCAATTGTCATTCGAACTAAACAGGATACAGGAAGTGGCCAGACGTTGCATAAGCCAAATATCGTTTTGATTATTCCTGTGGCTGGCAAATAAATGATTATGTGTGCAAGGATATCGAAATCCAGAACGAAGAAAATATACACAAGACAAACTGCATTTAACAAAACCAATTAACGACTGAAACTCATTCCAGTTTTCCATTAATTTAAGTTTCTATACATGTCCTTCACAATTTGAAGGTTTTTCCATTTTTCTCGCTATAGTAGTGAGTGCATATTATATGTGCCTGCTGACAGATTTCTAACCTTCTCAAGTTTAATCATACACATTTAATGAAAGTAATGGTTATCAGCATCGTTCGTTATTATCTCTTCCGCCGTGCAATAACACAAATACACAATAACGATAAGTGATAACAGGAAAACTGTTAAATACTGAATGTCAACAGCTGGCGCATTTCCAGTTTGAGAATTTGGCTTAATTGCATGCTCCAAAGTCGTATGCGATTTGTTGACAAGTGTTAAAAGGTGTGACATTTTGTTTGTGCAGTGGTGGATCGGCAGGATTTTATACAAAACAAAGGATTCTGACTTAAATATTGGACGGACTGAGCCTGAAAATACTTGCAAGATGAGGTGAGTAATTATACTAATCATTATATCTAATCAATTATTAGCGATAATAACTATGATCCAAGTACATTAGTAGATAATACATAATATGGAAGAATCCGTATTATTTATTCCCAATGGCTTTCACTTTTTCAGACAATGAAAAGAGTGTTATTGCTAGCCTTATAGTTTATTTTGTTCATCCGCTTAAAAGCATGCCCGGGTGACAATGGGCACATAACTCTAATGAAGTGAAAGCAATAATGGTGCATGGTGGTGCGGCTCGGGACAATAATTGCGAACAAGTCGTAGTATCACTGTGGTGGTTGGTGGTGGTGGGCCATGTTTTGAGTAACAGGACATTGGCACGATGATCGCAGCCCTTGCGAGCTATGGCATTGATCCGTGGGTCGGTCAATGTCCCACCCACTCCTCTGCTGCTGCCCGTACTTGCTGCCGCTGGTCGGGATTCGGAATCTTTTCGGGAGCAAGAAAGAGATGAAATGGGGCACCGGAGTTACTTTGGTTCACTTGGAAAGTGGTGGAGAGAGCGAGTGGAGAAATCATGAACGTCTTCTGCTGAGAGAAAGTTTCCTCTCCACGCACACGGCTGGCTGCCATATATGTGTAATTCCCCATTATAGTATCAGGAGTAGCTTATCACTTTCAGATCCAAAGATACTTCATAAATCACGACATTACTAACAAGGAACACTTTCCTGACACACTATCAACTAATGAATCGAGACCAATGAATGTATTAACTTTCACAAGTACCAATCCAATGATATCAAAGAGAAAGAAAAAGAAGCATAAATATTTACTCTATATTTACTAGCTATCATGCTCCAGCATTGGTTCGGGGTGGCAGTAGGTATGAATGAGAGAATGTATTGATTTGAGTGATAAAGTGATATCGACCTGAAACGAGATCTATGAATTCATCCTTACAGCGAAGAAAGTGCGAGATTCTTTTATAACGAGAAGTGTTAGGAATGTTAATGTTCAAGAAGAGAAACCGATGACACGAGAACCACATTTCTAACCGACTAAAACTCTCCCAAGTTAAGAGCTGCAACATCGTGGTGTTAGATGAAATTCTATGGTCTAATTAAATCCCTGTGGTCAACAGCAGTCTTATGATGCGACATATGTTGGATGAGAAAATACATATCTTAAAAATAGGGGTAAAGGCTTTTTCTCAAGCCAAGTGGTATATTAATTTGTTTATCCATTCAATGCTAGAATTTGGCATTTTCACTTATTTTAGTATACTTGAAATATCTGATAAAGTTAATAATCCAGACATTTTCCAATTGCTTTATAACTTCCTGTTGTACCTGGTATTCCTGTAATTATTCCTCCTCGAAGTTTTCTACTAAAAATAAATACATCAATGCAAACTCGAGAAAAATCAAGCAATTTGAAGTTTAAACTTGTGCGTCTCCATGCTTTAGATTTTCCACCAACCAACTACCAACTCCAAATTCCGTGCCAAGTTTTTCAACTTCCGCTGATTTTTACATTTATTTATTCATGGATGTTTTTAGCGTGCTTAGATGAATTTGAGAAACTATATTATGTGGTCTCTGGTTTGTATCTTCACAAGGCATTATTATTTGCCAACAAAGTTTGTTTTCTCCAACTCTATGCTATCCCATGCCGGTCGGTCCTTAAGTTGTTCAAACTCCTTCAGTCAAGATTTTATGTAAATAAACAAATGTAAATCCACGTGTTGGCTGACAGGTTCTACTTGTATATTCAGTGGCTAGAAGTTCTAGCTTCTGACTGTTGTACTTAACTTTTCGGCTTCCGGAAATGGAAGAGATTTCGATTTCAGTACTACATAAAACCACAAATATTGCCCCTTGTTGTTCATGATATTCTTCAGAGTCTTCCTTTTAATAATAGCTAAATAGCTTTCCCACCTTTCAATCTTGTGCTTTCCAGTTATTGTAAATTTCGCCTTTCCTGACATTGATGGTTTTGTTTTCATTTAGGCATGTTCCGGGTAGCAGCGTTACCCGGTACCCGGTTACCCGGACCCGGTATCAAATTCCTACCGGGTACCGGGTACCCGGCCCGGTAATCCATAATTTAAATAAATTCCGGAATGATGTACAAACGTATGAATTAGAACCGTAATACTGAGTTTCACCAACTAGTTGATATTATTGATACGTAATAAGCTATAGAAGATGCACCTTTTACACAAACTTTATAGTGTAAAGTGACATAAATATCTATAACAAAGGTGAAAGGAATCGCGATAAATAAAAAACCTGGATAGCTTTTGAGAAGTATAATAATCACAACCTACATACATTTCGAGATACACATAAAAATTAGATTTTGTAGTTTAGATCTATATTTGCAGATTTGGAGCAAATGTTTGTGAAAGTAATTTGGTTCCAGTTCTCCGGTTACCCGAGGGCGAGGGGGCGAAAGTCGCTAAAACCGAAAAGGGGACAACGGATTTCGCGGTGGTAGAAAATGCTATCGAAATCCTATTATCACTAAAAGATTCGTAATTTTCTCTACAGCCCCTAATCTAGCGCCTACCAAAATTCCAAATTAAAGATTACAAAATTACTTGGGAAATGATAATTTTTATTTTTTTTGAAAAATAATCTAAACTCGCAAAAATCAACTGTTCAAACTGTACTGCAAATCGTACAAAATCAAATTTGTCTGTTCAAATTCTGGTTTTGTTTATTGTTGCCCTTACAAAGTTACAAACCGAACGACAAGCAAATAAGTACGTAGTCAAGTTCTGTTCTAAGCCGATCTCGGCCACTTAAAGTGGTCAGGAATAATTTTTTCAACTTCTCATAACTTTTTGTTACTGGGCTTAAAATTAAAATCATAAAGATTGGTAACTCAAAATCAATCCCCAATTCTTATGACCACATCAAATGTTCATAAATTACGTTATTCATTAATTCCAAATGAATTACGTATGTGGTGGAAGATTAACTATACAAATTAAAAGTAACTTAAACTTTATTTAGCGTAATAAATTTAATATGTACCCGACCGGGTAAACCGGGTACTGAAAATTACCCGGTACTCACCAGGTAGTCAAAAAAGTACCGGGTAAGCCGGGTACCGGGTAGTTACCCGGTACCCGGAACATGCCTATTTTCATTGTGGTTCGTACTCATACATCACACAGGAAATTGGCCTGTTTCGTGGTCAACCTTACTAACTCAGCATCGTTATTTGCACTGTATAACAACTAGCAAAATGTTTGAAATTACATGGTGTGGTTGTAGTAATAAGCTCAATAGCTTCGTTTTAGTGGTATAAAATACTTCTTTGCGTATTTCATTGCAAAATAGTGCATAGTTATCTATTTGTTGTTGCTTCTCAAGTCTCAAGTCGTGTAGCCGTGCAGTTATTCATGCATAAAATGACCAATTGACCATTTGCTGTTTTCCACTTCAACTATTAAAAACTATATCGCTCAGTTTTTTCAGCACTCGACTTTGTAGGAAACGTGATTGATTTCAAAAAGAGTCTCAGCCTCAACCCCACAGTCAGTCAGGTTAGAGAGTCACGAAAACTTAATTTGCACAGCCCACTAGAGCAGAGCATGGGAACAATAAGAGCCCTTGTCGTCAGGGCTAGGTGAACAACAACAAATAAGAGAGGGGATTCTTTGCGACAACCCAACCAAACCTTTGCCAAATGTTTCACTCCATCACTGTCCTCTGCTTATTAAAAAAAATTATATTCAGAGTATTTAGCCAGTTACCCGAGCGAAATATTACTCACGACAGGACATTATGCTTCAGATGAGTAGTGGCGAGATGAGTCAGCTTATTGCATGTGCACTAATACAGGGAATCATGGATATAAGCACACATGCGTGTCATATTTTCATATGCATTTTTTATATTAAATTGCACTAAAAATCGGAATCTAAAACTGCAATTGGTAGTTTGGTTCGCTGCAATTCGATTTCCATTTTTCCTTGGCATTCAAAAGACTTGCTAAGAATAATTGCATAGCATCTAATGTATAGAACATTTCGTAAAAGAAGTTTGCAGTGAATAATAATAGTATTATGCATTATCGTTGCTACATGAAAAAATAACTCTAGTGGATCGAATAAAACTCGACCCACTTAATTTAAGTTACTCGGAGAGGAAAAATCCAAATTATGCAAGTTTGAAATTCAGTACGGTTTGAGGGAAGCCTTACAGTAAACTCAAGGTGATGCCCGAGCGAGACTCATTGTTAATCTCAAATAGTTTTAACTTGCAATCAGCTGTCTCGTATTTCGTGACAAAAACAGGCACCAGAAAAGTTCGCAATTATTTTTCTGCGTTCATTCTGTCGTTCCAGTCGTGCACAATATGTCGTACAGTTGTTGTGAAAGAGTAGAATCATTAACTATTTATGGGCATTAGGTAATACGTAATAGATAAAACAAAGCTGGTGAGAACGAAGTTCGAAATGAAAATGGATCAACAAATCAATGTTCAAATAACTTAAACCTGTCATCAAATTATTACTGCAGACATGGATTATTAGATATTTTACGACCCACAACGCCAGTTACTTATTTACAAGTTTGGCATTCCGAAAACTGTGGCATATCTGTTCAAATGTTTAATTATGTTCTACTTACGCTATGACATACATAATGCATGTCATACAACATCACATTCAAGGGGTATGTATAACCGAAGCAGTTGGTCAATAAAAGTCATACTTAGGTTCAGGTGCTTGACACCATGTGACTGTGTTTGACCCATGGAACAATTATTTTGGTAACTAATTTCAGACTTTGAGGGTAAAGTTGAAATATGTAGGATTTAATCAGTCAGTACTACCAACATTCTCAGGTTGGGTTAGGAATTTTAGTATTATTCATCCAAGCCTCAAGTCACAAGTTGCTCTCTTATGCTGCAACGCAATTTGTTGTAAGTGCATGCTGAGTAAAGGAGGTAACCATTTTCGTTTCATGCATTAACCGAAAATGTAAGAATACAACTATTTATAAATAGTTGAATACC